ACTTTCTAATCGGTTTAGAAATATTTACCGAGGCGGCAGCTTCCTCGGAGATTTCCCCTCCCTCCTCCTACTTCTATCTCTTCCACACCTTACTGGATTTTATCCAGAGCATTAACATGTAAACCAAACCAACTTCCCAAATGCATTAGGCTACCCTATCCGATAGCTGATGACTTCACTTATCCTGAAGAGTTTCAGCTGCACAGGAAGCAGAAATAGAGACTGATAAGGAAGATACTTATGTTAAGGTTTAAGCCCAGTAAACACTTGACCTGACCAGGGGGAAAAAAAAAAAAGGTTAATATTCAAGATTTAGGAAAGGTTTCTAGGGGTTAGGCACCTTCTCTCTCTAGCCAATTACACCACACCCAATAAAGCCAAAGATAAAATACATCAACTAGTACACAAACCATGAAAAGACAAGATTGCACGCCAGTGGAACTATAGATCATATAAACTGTGTGAATCAAATTAAAAATCTTTAATATTGTGAAAGGAAGAAGGGAAAATACATTCAGGAAATAAAAACGTTGAACGTACAGGAGTAGACAATAGGTGCATACTGAAATATCTAGCTAATTAAAGATATTTCCTCACTTAAAAAAAAATCCTTTCAACACTATGTGTTTAACCCAATGACTAGTTGCATTTCCTGTGAAGTTCTGCACCATGCCTCTAGACTATTTTAATGTGTGAGGACAGTGTGATTCGAAAAGCCTCCTGCTTCATTGTAGGGGCTATTTGATGAGAGTAGCTTTTCTTAGAAGAGTGGGGTCAACATTTAGGTGTCTGCCCCAAGGCTTCACTTGAAAGGAGAAGGTTGATTTTACAGGCAAGTACAACCAGATCTGAACAATCTCCAGGCTTCTGGCTCATCACCACTGTGACTATCAGCACAGCTAAGATGAATCTTGCTTTTATTATAGGAAAGCGTGGCAAACTGTCACAAAGCAAAAGCCATCTGAAATAGTATTATTTTTTTGCAGATTAGTATCTACAGTATATTTGTTTGCCTGTTTGTTTTTCATCTGGTGAGTTTGCTACTACCATGAATTCATTTTAATAATATGGCAGAGATAGTCTGTATCAGGTTTTCATTTAAGGTACAACTTCTAAAAAAAGAATCCAAAAATTTAAAGGTGCATAACATTTTGAATACTAAGATATGTCTATATATGGTGGGAAAATGAAATTAATTTTTTTCTAGATTCACAAATGCCTTGACAAAGCAAAACATTTGCAGGAACATATAAGTTTATTGCCATAATGCCTGAAATTAATGTAATGAATTGTAAAAGCCTATTTTACATGAGCGAATAGACATAGGCAATACATGACTCAATCATATTATTTTTGATGGATTATAGATTATTTCTATTTACCACAGTACACCTCAGTTTTAGATGATTTTCCCTCAAAAATAAATTATTTTACCTTTTAACATCTTAACGCATTATTTAATAATAAACATTATAACAAACTCATAATCATCAATGAGAGTACAAGCATTCAGGAATACGTATAACCCCACACTGTGGATACTTGGAAATAATTTGGATCCGAAATGTATCACAGTTGGCCTTTTAAAATATAAGATATTCCCCTCAGCAGATTTAGCTTCTTAATTATGTGTGACCTAAGTTAATATTAGCATTAGTTTCCTTCCCATGAGCCTTCATATTTGAAGCAGAACAGAAGAGGTTGTGCAGAAATATACAATAGAAAGTCACCGAGATTTAAAATTATTCATCGGTAATTCACAAAGTAGTTAATACAAAATGTGCTTTGTATTCTTTAAATACTCTGGATTTTTTTTTTTTTTTTTTAACCAAAATCATCCTGATCTTTACCACCTAATGGTACTTGGTTATATTATGTTTTCTGGTGTAGGGAGGAGCTTGTACTAGGTGTTAGGAGGCCTATATTCTCTGGTTCAAGATTTGTGCCTAAGTACTGCGTGTGTCTTTTCAGGGCTTCAGTTTGCTTGTTCATTAAATGAGTTATGTGAATTCTCCAATCTATTCCAGTTCTATGACTAGAAAGTAGAAAATTCTCACACCCTTTAAGCCAGTTGGACACTAGGGACCTACCATGTTAAATAAAAGGTGACAAACTGGTTAAGAGAAAATGATGTCTGGGATTCACATACTATTTAAATAAACTTTTTCCCCCCAATCACCAAATATTTCCTCCATTAAACAATTGTCATAAGTGCTTTATTATGTATGTAAATATATATTTACTTGTCCCCCCCCCCAAAAGAATTGTTTAGCAATGTATTTAACTGAAGTACCACAGAAGTTACAGAGAGCATACTCCTTAGGACTTGACTCTAAGGAAAGCTAATTTCTAATTTCTGTTCAAGGTTGTATACCATCTTACTCCACCCTCCTCTCTTTACTACTTCCCTACATTAAATCAGCAGTCTACTAAAACCCTGTTCACTGGGTATGCCTGCTTTTAAGCTTGGCCCACGCTGGGTGTAGCTCTTGAAGTGAGCTTTAAAAAATTATTTTAAAGTAAGCTGGGGCGGTTGCCACAGCAACCCACCCTAAGATGAAGAGAGCCTATAGATTAATCTACCCCTCAAGATTATTCAACTGTATAGTATTTGTTCTTCAGCCAGAATACTTTCAACACAAACATGATAATTGAATATAGAAGTTCAGAAAAATATAAAAAGTAGTAAGATACAAATTCCAATAGCATTAAAAATGTTATCTTTTTATAGTTACAAGAGAGATGACATACATAACTTCCCCTGAAATGGATTAACTGTAAAAGAGACTTGCAAAGGTAGGCCCTGCCAGGTGATATGTGAGCTTTAAGCAAAATGGCATGGTATTGTTTTTAATATAAAGCATATAATGGTTGCCATCACGCTTTATCACTTTTATGTGTCTACATTATAGATACCTAATGACAAGGAGTTTGGCAGTTTTACCTTTATGAATTAGCTTGGTGGTAAATGATATAACAAATGTTAAGCACTCACCACATACACATACAGTCATTTGCCTTCCATTCTTTACTTCATCTCTTCATAGAAGTTACTTCACAGTTTTCAACTCTTCTTTGGCACCTTAAATGTGTAAGTACAACAAGGTAACAGTTAAAAACTTTTTTTTAAGGAAAGCTGATATTAAAGTACATTCAAATAAATTTATTTCTAAAACTTCTAATCTGAAGTAACATCAGTATTAATTCTGATTTTAAAACAAATGAATGTATGTTAAAAACAAAATAATTAAAATGATCATTAATTGTGAAAATACTTTTAGCCTTTAATATAAATAGTGCCAAATATCTAAATTTCAAAAATTCTTTAGGTACAGCTTTAGCCTATGCACAGTATACACCATATGGACTACTTGTGATTGAGAATCTGCAATATGCAAAGGATTTGTTATTCCAAGCCAAGGTTTAATCATATCCTTTATCTCATATCTAAAGAGCCTATATTTATCTTTATTTTTTGTACCTTTAATTTTGTATCTGATTAAGAATTACAAAGGAGAAGTCAAATCTACCATATCCCAAGCTAACAAAATTTGTCAAGTAGGGATAACGAAGCTTCAACTGAAGTTGCTGAAAGGGCTTACTGTGTATGGCGTCCAAAGGGCAGTTTTAAATACTTCAGGATTAGTGGTGTGGATTCAGTACCTTTTATGAATTCTATTACCAATAATACCTTATGCTAGCCCGCAGCGTTGAACTATACTGAGCACAGACAAATGCTCCTGTGTTCTAATCTCTGTTTGAAACCAGCTTTCTATGACTTCAAGCATACAAATGAACTTTTCCCTGGCTTCAGAATGAGTCTATTCCTCCCAACCTTGAGACTTATCAGACCAGGATGGTCAATATCCATTTACCCATTTGTTTTAGCAAGAAGACTTTTCATAGTGAAGACACATTAAGATTTATAAAGCCTCTATATTTGGGTTGACATTCTTAAGATTTATTTTTATTTTTAAATTGCTTCAGGCAAGGAGAAATGAATTTTGGCCACTTTTATTTTAGGGGTGTTAGCTGAGTTTAGTCTTTTAGGCTCAGGCCTACAGTGAGTTAGTCTAAACTTAGTGACGGGTAGTATCTGGTGACCTAGTGAATACCCTTTCTCCCAGCTCTGCTTGGTATTACAGTCTGTTAAGTGGGAATCATAATACACATCTCCCAGGGCCTTTTCACCTTACAGAAATGCAATCTTCATGGAATAATGTCTGAAAGATATGCTAAGGCTTTTAACAATGCCACTACAAATTATGATACATTTCTTCCTTTTCCTGGATCAGTATGCCCAAATAAGGCTAGATCAGTAATTTCCTTGCAAATGTGTGGCTGATTAAAAAGTATCCATATGCATGGCTAAATTTAATGGGCTTTACCTTCACTTAGAAAATCGTTAAATGTTCATCGGAACATTGATTCTATCCCATTTCTCGAAATATCACAGAAACCTTCAAGTCAAAGAATGGATTGTTACACTTCCCCTTTTAACTGTTTGGTGTCTCCCCTCCCCCCCCCCCCCCCCCCCCCGCCCAGATACCTCTCTACGTGTGTGCCCTTTAATTTTTAAAGATCTTTACCCGGGATCGGGGTGGGGGGTGGGGGTTAAAAAATCTCCGTCCTGCGTTTTGGTGCCCACTTCTTTGTCTGGGAAGCCAAGGGCTGGAATTCGGTTCGGACGGCCCCTTAAGAGACCCAGACAGGGGACGCCTGTGGTTTCAGCAGCTTACTCTGCTGAGTTATTGATTGCAGGCAGCAACAATCCCTCCCGGTGATTTGTGTGGAAAGTGAATCCGCGCTGGCTGGGCGTTCACAGAGGCGCAACAGCCGCAACGCCATCCAATTATTGCCGGTCGTCCCCTCCAACACCGCTCTCCACCTATATACTCCTTTCTCTGCCCATCGCCACTTCCCCCCACCCACTTTTCTCAGAGCGGACCGACCTACCTACTCCTTCTCAGCCCGTCTTCGCTTCCCCCCCACCCACTTTCCTCAGAGCGGACGGAGCCGAGGGGGCGGGGGCTCCCTCCCGGGAGCGTTTCTAGAGCTCGGAGGCAGCTAGTAGGGGGTGAGTGCGCCACGTGCGTGCGCCACGGGCGAAGAGGAGGCGGGCTCGGGGCCCTCCAGGGGCCTGTGGGCCTGGGTGCGCGGAGGGGGGCGGGCTGTCTTGGCGGGGAGTGTGCCGGGTTGCGTCTTGAGGGGGATGTCACGGCTCGGGGGAAAGCGGCTGATGGTTTGGCGAAGAGGCCGCGTGGTGGGCTGTGGAGAATGGGAGGAGGGCGCAACGGTGGTGGGTGGGCCCTGGAGAAGCTCGGTGGCGTTGTCGGGGAGTTGCCCTGCTCGTCTGGTTTGGGGATCTCAGGGATATTTCCCCTAGGCTGGCGAGCGACGACCCCAGAGGGCTGGGGAGGAGGGGAGTTCCGAGCGAGGCGCCCAGTGAACCCACCTACGCGCACGGTGCACAAAGCGCTGGCACGCGGTCGACGTCCGGCGGCCCTTGGAGCCGCCGGGGCTCTGAGCGCTTTGCGCGCCTGGGGGAGAAGGAGTGGCAGGCGCAGGTCCGGCCGCCGCCCCTGTCCCGCCGCCGCCCCTGTCCCGCCGCCGCCCCTGTCCCGCCGTCGCCCCTGTCCCGCCGCCAGTCAGCCCTGTTTTTCACCTGACAGACCAATAGGAAAGGACGCGGTCCCGGAGCTGGATTTTACAGCCCAATCTCTCAGGGTCTACACAATTATTAAAAAAACTGACAGCCAACTGCTGCGTCTGCTAGTTAAGCTGCCTCGGTGGATAGGTGCGCGTTTTGGCTCGGGAAAGGCCCCAAGCTACACGACAAATGGGAGACGGGGGAGAAAAGACACAACCTCTCCCACCCAAAACTTCCTTTCCCTTTCCCTCCCCTTTATTTGCTGGCACGTGAGAACAATACTGGGGTCTCTAGCAAAAAATGCCATCACGAAATGCAAATGCCTGGGCTGTTCTTTGATCTAACTGTGGAGCTGTACCAAACGCTCCAAGAGTGGTGAAAAGATCAATGCTCCAAAGACGTTGTAAAGTACTCGGCTGAATAAATCAAAGGTGTAAAATGTTTATATTGTCGTGCTCTTGAAGCTATAAGCTGCCGCCAATATGGGAGCCGCTAGCCGCCTGTGGCTCATTAAGTTTAAGCTTATTAGAATTACATAAAATTCAAAATTCAGGTCCCCAGTTATACTGGCCACATTTCAAGTGCTCAGTAGCCACAGGCGGCTAGTGGCTACCTTATTTGACTGTGAGATGTTGAACATTGCCATCATTGCGTAAAGTTCTATTGGAATGTGCTGCTCTAGAGTTTTAAATGAATGCTGGTTTAAAAAAAAAAAAAGAAGAAGAAGAAAGAAAGAAAGAAAGAAAGAAAGAAAGAGAAAGAAAGAATGAATCTGCTTTATGATACCAGCCAAATTTTAGGACACTCTTGGCATTTGCATTTCCTGGCACTAGTGTGGAAAGTTTTAAAGTCAGAATTTCCGTATCTTCTTGCTGAAAGAGGTCTTGGGGAACATTTAACACAAGCACCTAATTTTTTACAGGGTAGACAAATGGGGCCCAGAGAAATTAACAGATGTACCCCTAAATCACGCCATGAATTTAGAAAGAAGTGAAGGTCACCAGGCAGGGTCTATCTACTATACTTTGTGCGAGACCAGGGCACCTTACCTGAGACTGACTAGGCAAATTCGCCCTATAGAAAGGTGATCTGACAGATTTGACAGGAGTACCCTTTTACAAGAGAAAGTACTTCCAAGCATTCTTCTAGGAAGAAATTCTAGTAAAGAATAAGGTGTGTAGGAACACTGTCTCCTAAACTAAAAATGTATTACTGGTAGTTTCATAGATTGAAATCATGTCTTCTTCTAGAGACTGGTTGGGATAACATTGTTCTTATTTATACTTAAAAAAAATCTGAGGAAATGGAATTATCCTTTTAAAGTAAAAGCTAAAAAACACTCTTAAGGTCAGGGAGGAAAAGTATTGTATAAGGTGGAAATTGTTAGTAAAGCATAGTCTTTCCCAAATTCGATGAAGATACTATTAGGTACATGTTATGGAACCTCCCTTTGCCTCAGTTTCCTCATCTGTAAAATGTGAAACATAAAGTGCTACTCTTAAAACTTTGTTATGGGGATTAAATGAGTCACCCAACAAAGCACTGGGCTGGGAAATTGGTAAACTGTAGTAAAAGACATTCTTATTCTTCTGCAAAGAACTTCTACTTCTACACCATTAAGTTCCATATTCATCCATACAAGGGCTGACACTGTATAAAAAGTTGGAGAAGTAGATTGTCCAGAGGGGTGGGAATTGGTTTAGGATGAGAACTGTTTGTTTTATTTTTAAGAGAGGTGATCTTTTCAAACCTAAAATTCCCTGACTGAATGGATGTATGTTGTTTTATTTCCCTTTCACAGACATGGCATCTCTAGTATACTTCCAGAATTTTATTGTCTTAATTTATTATTATTTTTTGTCTTGAGGGATGCTTCTTTATACTTGTTAGCTGCTTGGTTGTTGAAAAGGCACTGGAAACTCCCAAGTCCATCCTCTTTCACCCTGGTTGACCTTTGGAATGCTGTTGTCAGCCAAGAAGACATTGATATCTTCAGTCTCCTGCTAGCTTGAATTCTTTAGGGCAGAGCCTGCTCAGATTATCTCCTTATGTCATTCCAAATGTCTGATGGCCATCTATGGCAATGGGGCTGGGCCAAGGCCTGCCAGGAAGGGGGAGCCCATGGAATGCCTAATGGAGCATTCTGTTCAAGAGGGACCCAGACGTTCTCTGTTGGATGCATGATCAACATTACAACTATGTCTAGGGGACTGTTTGCTGCTTCTTGGAAAACAGAAGCCATAGACATTTTGCGTTTTTGGTTTTAATAAAGTCCCACTTGGGACGTATGTGATTTCTATTGATTTCAATTTGTGTAAATATGTATTACAGGGAAAAATGGACTCAGAAAGTATTAACAAACAATTTATATCTGGTATACCTGCTATCTCTCATTAAGAACACCAAATAAGAAAAATCTAGAAAGGAGAGAATAAAGCCACCACACTGCAGAATGTACCTTGTTTTCTTTATCTCTCTAGGTAATTTTCCAAATGATGGTGTTTTACATAGTTGAGAACTTACAAAATTACTTCTAAATATTTTGTATATAACCTAGAATTAGAAACCAAGGAAAATAATACAAATTTTATTTTTTCAGGAAGGCAAGATCATGCATAGATTTATATGTTTCTCATACTTACTAAATTTGAAAACAAGGAGATACGTAATTATATCCATATGCTAATTTACCAGGAAAAGAGAGAATTGATTTTCATTGTTTGGGATGAGGTCTCTCTAAATTGTTTTGCAATATGGTGAGAATTAAAAGTAAAATACAGTAAAACTTTTAAATTTGTCAGGCATTAAAACTGGTTTGATTTATCAGTATATAGTACTTCACTTAGTCAAAGACTCAAACCAAGGAAGTCTGATTTTCTATAGATGATTTCCTTTTTTTACTAAATTTGTAGTTTGATATTTATATGTGAATAATATTCATATTTACAATACAAGGATATTTGTAGTATATGTGTAAAAATAATACTACTTTATTAGAATGAGAGTTGAAATAAATTTAAAGTGTGTAATATTTAATGGCCACTCACTATTAGTCTTGTATTAATTGCTTTAATTAATTATATTTTCTGCTTTATAAACTTTTTTTTTCTTTTTATCCAAACAACAACCATTCAGACAGGAACTACAATTCTCTTCATTTTACAGATTTTAAAAACTAAAACTTAGAGAGGTGACATTACCTGCTCAGGGTCTAATAGCCCCTAGTGCCAGACAAGGGACATGAAGCTGGGTTAGTTTGTTTCTAGTGATGCTCTTAGCTGTGATGCTGTATTGTATCCTTAGACTCATAAGCTTTGCTCACTTATAGGGATCATGAGATCAGGAGGTGATGTAATCGATATTTTTTTACCCCCCACCAGAAAATATTTTAGAAATACATGTCTAAATGTGTGTCATCCTCTTCGGGTAGACAGCTTAGGAAGTTATTCGCTTATTTCAGTGATAATGTCTTTGCACAGGTCTCTATAGAAATCTCCTTAGGAATTTGCTATTCAGTCTTAACTGATTGTTGGCAAATCATTATCATTAAGGATGAATTTGTTGGTGAAACTAAATCCAAACCAAATGTAGTGAACAAGGTGCTTGATGGAAACTATGATGTGATTATAAAGCAGCAGATTATTTGATATCTGGCTCATAAATTGACACTAATTGCAGATACAAAAGGGGAATTTCAAGGGTATTCCTGCTGTGAAAGTGTAGCCTTTAAGTAGACGTTTTGGCAATAACATCATAAAGTTTTAAAAAGTTAGTTTCATCAATTAGAAGTTACATATCATATGTGAACATCATGGGAAATACCTTTACAAGGAATGTACAAGGGACAGGGAAGGGTAAATCAGAGTTGCTGAATTAGAATCCAGGTTCAGACTTAATAACCATTTGACCTTAATTTTCAAAATGCCCTTGTTATAAAAGAGAAAACATGGCAGGACCTCCATAGGATGACAATTTTCCTGAAAGGAAGACATAAGATTGTACTTCTATAGTCACCTAGTGCCTGGCATGTAGAAAATGCTCAGTAGGGGTGCCTGGGTGGCTCAGTGGGTTAAAGCCTCTGCCTTCGGCTCAGGTCATGATCCCAGGGTCCTACGATCGAGCCCCATATCAGGCTCTCTGCTCAGTGGGGAGCCTGCTTCCTCTGCTCTCTCTCTCTGCCTGCCTCTCCACCTACTTCTGATCTCTGTCAAATAAATAAATCTTAAAAAAAAAAAGAGAATGCTCAGTAAATGTTCACTAACATACTATTTCATTTTTAAGGACTACTGCATGCATGAAAATACCTCAATGTCTCATTTATCTAACAATATTTTAGAAGTTGTTTCCTTTTCTATCAGCTTTCATGCTTCAAAGCAGTTTTTATTTTATAATATAGCTTTTTATATTTGAAATAAATATAAAATATT